GGGTGGCCTGTGCTTCTTTCTTTCTCTGTCTAGGGTTTTTTTCTCAGTCATGAAAAAGGCAGAAAGGGAAGGCTCTATAGAGGGAGGGATGTTCCTCCCTTTTTCTCTCTCCAGGTTCTATTCTCAACCAGGTATGTTTGCCCTACTTTGGTTCTTTTTTTGCTGATTTTAATGCATATTTTTCAGTAATTTTCAATGGCATTATAGTTATTTGTGAGAAAGGTTGGGGTTTTTTTTTTCTAAGTTACCTCTTCTCTTCTCTCTTGGTGCTGATTGCTTTGTCGCATGCATATTACTAGAATATCAATTTTATTTTCTAAAATCTTTGGGTTGATAAGTCTTCCTTTCTAACATGGTCTAGAATGCACCTTCTCAATTACGTACATTTTTACCTCAGCATGCCTCCTTGTTGGCTAAAATCTAACGCATGTGCTTCAATGATGTTTGATGGGTGTCTTGGTGATTGCCATCGAGGTTGCATCTCTCTTGGTATGTCAACCTTATTTTCTGAAAAGAAAAAACTTTCTACGTAACCCCACCCACATATATAGTATATATGACCCATGGTCTCAGCCGTTAGATCTGAATAGATGACTTGAGTCACAATGTCACGAGCTAGCTGTTAACCATCAGATCTTGATCAAGGGACTTATAGTTTTTAAATTTTTATTTTTATTCTACAAATAATTTGAGCAAAACTTGGAGCATACATAGATAAGGGGCGTACAAGATAAACATAATAAAAAATATTTTCGATGATAAAATTAGCAGAATACCCTTCAAAATTGTATGGCATTTTGGTCATTTATTTTTATAAAAAATATTTGTTTTTTTATTTTGTTAGGTTCGCCCGAAAAATGTTTTGTACAACAAAAAATGAAAAATAAAATGATGTTTGACATGACATTGTGCTATGAACAATCATAGCCGTTCAATCTAAGAAGTGGAGTCACATATAACTTAAATGTGGTTGGAGTTACATAGAAACATTTCCATTTCTTAAAATCTGTGGGTTGATGAGTTTGTCTCTTGAACAAACACCTCCTTTGTAAGTCTAAATTTAAAGTACCAATTAAGGAATTTCCTATATTCGTCCTGGTATTGTCCTTTTGTCCATGTCCTTGCAATGATAGACTAACATGATTGAGGTAAGAGATTATAATATTTACACATTTTTTCGAAACTTGTCGAGTCCACATGGGTTATCTTGGTCATCGAGGCTACCCAGGCTGGGTCGCAACTCGGCATGTGTTTCTTTTTTTATATTTGTTTTTTATTTTTAAATAAAACAATATAAAATATGTTTTTTTTTTGTATTTTTTGTTTTGCTTTTGTTCAATCAATATTACATCCAACGTTTTGATCGATTTGGACGCAGATTGATCCATCTTAGTCCAAAAATTCAATATTTTGATCAAAATTCTCATTGGGAGATATTTTTTTTAAAAAAAAAAGAAGAAGAAAAAAATCACCATTTTTTTAGTCCCAAAGCTCTATATGAAAGATATCTACAAATAAAATATCAACAAATGGCCCTATGAAAGATCTCTATCATATATTGTTGGATCTAAGGCATTGTTTGAAGAGATCTAGTTGAATTCATATTTTTTACCTGAAATAAATAAAAAACAATGATTTCTCACTCAAGTTTCACCAATTTCTTCAACTTTGTCCCAAAGTGTTCCTAAGATACTCATCTACAAAAACCCTACTCAAAATATTTTCAATCAAAACGACAAATATCTGATATCTATTTTTGGGTTTTTTATTATTTTTTTCAATGATTTTCTTTTCAATTTTTTTTATTTAAATTTTTTATTGTTTTTGTTTAAAAGATCATATTAGAAGATGTTATTGAAGATCAAATATTTTTGAAATACGAAATTTTCTATAGATGATATTTATATATATTTTTTAGTTTCTATTTTCCACCTTTTTTACTTCTTTGTTTGTTTTTTTAAAAACACCGAGTGGCCTGGGATGACTTAGAACTCGTAAGTATCGGGTCTAGCCTCCTGAGCCATTTTTTTAAACACTACTTTATATATAATGTAAAAGAAAATTTTAGTAACCAGCTACCCTTGCCTACACCGAAGGAAGTTTTATAAAATTTATCACAATATTAATATGTAACATGATAGATTATCATGAGATTATTTCATGGCATCACGTCATTGCAACACAATGAAACCACATTTCTAGAAAATCATGGTTATGGCATTTATATGGCCTTAAATTTGGCACATACATTCTTTTCATCCCAACAATCAATCTCAGAAAAATAAGATTCAATCTGCACTTTAGATATGGTTAAAATAAGTTCCCTTCCAATAATGAATCTAGACCATCAATTTTCTAAGTTTAAGATCGAGGCCTTCATGAAAATATGATCACAATAATCTAGATTGTGAACAATGAATCCAGACAGTCAATTTGCTGAAATTCAATCAAGCGGATTTGACAAAAATAAGTTGGAAAAAATGGACATTTGCCTAAATTTCCAAAATTTACAGACATTTTATGAATAAAGGACACTTATGTTAGTTCCCCAAATATTAACATATCCAAGGCAATTAGATCAGTTTTTTAGAACTCAAATCGTAGTTTCTTTGTTTGAAAATACTATTAAGTGATTTCAATCGGGTTTCAAGATTTCAAGTCCAGAAAATCTTTTGTTTTTCTTGAGGGAGAATAGGTACACATTGTGCTCCCACATCAGTACATTATTTGTGCTCATATGAATTTATTCGGGTTATTTCTCTTCATTTTACGATTGGAAAAATTCACATATGGTGTCAAACTTACACTACAGAAATAAGTGCAATTCAAAAAGCTACTGGAAGAGGCTTTTTTGCTGCTGAAAAATCATTCAAATGATCATCTTGACCTCCGAGATGTATGAATATGAAGAAAAAAATGAATTTTAGGTATAAAAAATACTTTAAAATGCATTATTTAGACAATATATATTCAAGATTTTGAAATATTTGTAAATATGTTTAATTCAAGCGACTTTTGAATTTTATAATTATGGAAAAAAATAGATTTTTGAATGCGGTTTTTATGAGTCCTAAGACTCATATGTAGATAGGCGTCCCCTCGTCATTATCCATTTTTATGATGGATTTTGGACGTAGTGTTTTCAGTATGTATAATATCTAACGTGGAAATCATAAATGTGTAAAAGAAAATAATTTTTGAAAACTAAAAGTAATAAATTTTTGAAGAAAACTTTTAAATAATTGATTTATCCTTTTTTGGAGAAACCATTATTTATCCCTCAAGGGACTCAAATGTAGCTATGAGTCTCTTAGGCATAAACTACTTTTCCTTTTAAGATTTTCTACGGTGAAAAGTATTATGCTCCTGTAATAGGATGTCTATTTATTCGCTCAGATAAAACCCCATCGAAAATTAATTTTAGGACCCCAACTTTTAGGGATAGGACCTCTTCAACCCATAGATTAATCTCGACAAAAACAATTTCCTAATTGTATCTTCTATGTACTTAAACTAAATAATGTCTCGGGATTGAATAGAGACCATCTAATTTTTGGATGGTGAGATCCAAATGTTGGAAAACCATATTTCAATTTTTTATTTTTTTTTTAGGAATAATCATCTAGTAATTCTAAGTAGTTCCCAAAATTTGAGATTGAAAAAAATCCTTCCAAATAGGTATTCTTATGAGGGAGCAAAAGTAAATTATGCTCCAAAGGGAGCATATTATACGTGCAAAAACTGATGGGTGGTTTGTATAAGGTTGGAACCTTAAACAATCAAAGTAAGTTGCATCCTCATGAGATTAATTTTGGTATAAAAAATTCTTAGAATGGTACAAGAATCTATTTTTATCTCTAATTATAAAATTTTAAACTCCAAAAATAGTTTAAATCAATGAGATATATAAAACGCATGAAAATTTTGAAAAGAGATGGTCTAGATAGTATGGTACAAGATGTACTATTTTTAGAACTCAAAATCTCTTCTTCTTCTTCTTCTTTTTAATTCATATATATACATATCGACACCGTGGTGATCATTTAGATATTTTTTCCAACATCAAAACAACCATTTTTGAAGGATTTTATAGGTGCACCTTAATTCTACACTTTAATGTGTCAACCTTATATGAATGTTTCGATAGGCCGCAACTCTATGAAAATAATTTGAGCCTTACCTCAAAACTCACTAAAAATTGCAATTTTAGCATTTAAAAACCTTCAAATCAATCATCTCAGCCTTGACCATTATGGTTGTAAATAAAAAGTAGGATTTCAAGCCTTAGAAACAGTATACATGACACATTCTTTAGATAGTCCATTTCGCCTTAAAAATAAGTGTTCACATATCCACAAGATCTATACTATTTTTTAAGCTTCAATTTTCATAGTTGGTAATAGAAATTAATTTTATAGCCATCACCTAGTTTCCAATGTTAAAGTGATTTTCAGACGAGGATTTGAGCTCAGATGAAGATTAGAGGTGAGGCTTTACTTTATTTTTATAAAGCCTAGGCTTTATAGAAACTAGGGGTGGCAATGGACCCAAACATGATTCAAGACCCGTCGGGTTACCCGAATGGGTCCCACATTTGGACCGTCGGGTTCGAATCCAAAACTTGGGCCTGAATACTATTCAGGTCTAGGTCTGGGTTCGGTTGGACCCGACCCATATCCTACTATGGAGATAAAATACTTCAAGCCCTATTCGTTTGGGTGTATTAAAGATCTATACCATAAGAATTCGTAATCATCTTTAGCCGACAAATAAGACGACTTGAAATGTAATAGCGCGTTATAACTTTGTTGTCAATAATTCGAGTATATGATAGTAAAGAAAAAAAAAAAAAAAAAACAATGCACCCGTCCTGACCCGGGACCCGATGCGATAGGGACCCCAACTGATGGGCATCGGTCCTACTCATGGACCCAATGGGTCGGGTACGTGCGGAGTCCTTTTGCCACCCAGAGAGAAACTGCACTCCTTCTAAAAACTAATGTCACCAGGGGGCGTGTACCTCTTTCCTCATGAAAGATTCTAGAGTGGCTCATCTTCAATGCTTAGAAAAGGAGCCTTTTCTCTCCGTAAGGAGTGAGAAAACATGGGGAGAAGGACATGTGCCTCTTCTCTGTTCATCAGAAAACCTTGCCTCCAAAATAAGGAGGCGCGTCGGTCTGCAAAATCTGCATTCAAAGCCGTCTGCTCTTCTTCTTTAAATCTCTGCGTGCAAAACTCTCACCTTCATTTTTAGCCAACTTCTCTCTCTGTCTACATGTAAGAGCCTCTCTCTCTCTCTCATGGTTTATAGGTTCAATTTCTTTGATTCTTAACTGAAAACCTAGAATACTGTAGCACATAAGCGTTGCCCTGAGGTGGGTATTTTCTGTTTTGTGGGTTGAAGCTTTGTATGTTACATTGTGTTTTTTCTGTTTTATGGGTTGAAGGTTTGTATGTTACATTGCCGAGTTTCTCATGGGATGGTTATGCACTCTGTTTCATACACATGCTCTTTCTGGATTTGTAATTAGACTGGTTTACTGTTTTTTTTTTTTTACATAAATTTTCTGAATGATTTTCAGTTTATGAGTTTTCACTCTCTGTACCCCGGGCATGGGTTCCGGGTTTTAAGGATTTTAGGGCATGAGTTCTGTTATTATGGACATGGGGCGAGGGTTAATGCATGTATACAACTTCTGTAGGATTAGGGTTTTGGAGGAACTGTAGGCAGTCTGTTGGCTTTTTAGACCAAAATTTCCTTTGGTTTGCTTGGGGCCCAGATTTATTATTATTTTTTTATTTTTTATGTTTTTTTTAACCCTTCTTGGTGAAGTTCTCAGGAGTCTTGGTCCTGGCATGCGATTGTTTTCGATGAGATTAGGGTTTAGAAAGCCTGCACTGTAAAGCTTTTTAAGAACATCTGAACTGTTGCATTTTTAGGTAGTCGTAATTTGTTAAACCTAGTTTAGACCATTGAATTGTTGTATTGCTATTTGTTATATAGGTCTATTTGCGAGAATGGCTGCTAATAACGGTAACAACCAGTTGAGAAATGTTGGGGGTCCATCAACCTTTGGCAATTCTGCAATGAACCCATCAGCCATGCAATCCATGGCTTCTTCAGTGAACCCTTCTTCTATTCTTCACCCTCAATCTCAACCACAATCACAACCCACCCCTCACTTCCCAGGCCCATTTCAAACACCCATTCAAGCCCAAGTTCAAGCTCAAGTCCAAGCCCAGGCTGCCTTTGCCCAAGCACAAAACCACCCTTTTGGCCAAGGTCCATTCCATCCCCAATCCCAAGCTCAATCTCACTCCATCGCTCAAGCCCATGCCCAATTCCAGGCCCAATTACAAGCCCAAGCCCAAGCCCAAGCCCAAGCCCAAGCCCAAGCCCAATTGCATCCACAAGCCCAATCAATCTCGCTTAACCAATCCCAAATCCCAAACCCATTGAATGCATCTTCGCCCTCTCTTACGACCCCTAACAATGCAAGTGCAAAACGTGGGCAGCAAAAGCCACCTGCTCGGCCGCCTGGACCCCCCCTCCCCAACAATGCCGCTTCCCTTTATAAGAGCTCCGAGCTAACTCCTGCTGCCCGAAGGAAGAAGCGTAAGCTGCCTGAGAAGCAGTTGCCTGATCGGGTAGCTGCCCTTTTGCCCGAATCATCTCTGTATACCCAATTACTCGAGCTGGAGAGCCGTGTCGATGCTGCTCTAACTAGGAAGAAAATCGATATACAAGAAGCTCTTAAGACCCCTCCTACCCTTCAAAGAATGCTACGCATATTTATCTTCAATACTTATGCCAACCAAACTCGTGGGGCCTCGGAAAAGCCTGCACAAGAGCCGCCATCTTGGTGTCTTCGCATAATTGGGAGGATTTTAGACGATGGTCCTGACCAAGAAGCCTCAGGGGGGCTCCCCAAACCGAACCCAAATTACCCGAAATTCTCATCGTTTTTTAAGAAGATCACTGTGGCTTTGGATGCCAATTTATACCCTGAGAACCCAACAATTGTATGGGAAAGCAATCGCTCGCCTGCCCCTGTTGAAGGGTTCGATATTAAGAGGAAAGGGGATAAGGAATTTGTGGCGAAACTGAGGCTTGAGATGAATTGTGGGCCTGATAAGTTCAAGCTGTCGCCTGCTCTGACTGAGGTTCTTGGGGTTGAGGTCGATACACGACCACGTATCATAGCTGCTCTTTGGCACTACATAAAAGCGAGGAAGCTGCAAAACCCGAGTGATCCTACAGTTTTTGCATGTGACCCAGCTCTCCGTAAGGTATTTGGTGACGAAAAAATGAAGTTTTCAACGGTTTCACAGAGGATATCTGCTCATTTATCCCCACCCCAAGCTATACAATTGGAGCATAAAATTAGGCTTTCAGGGATTAACCCAGCTGGTAATATGTGCTATGATGTGTTGGTTGATGTTCCATTTCCTCTTCAGAAGGAAATGACAGGTTTCTTGGCTGGTACTGACAAACAAAAAGAGATAGAAGCTTGTGATGAAGCAATATGTGCTGCGATTAAAAAGATTCACGAGCATCGTAGAAGGCGGGCCTTCTTTCTAGGCTTTAGCCAGTCTCCTGTGGAGTTCATAAATGCTTTGATTGCTTCACAAAGTAGGGATTTGAAGCTTGTCGCTGGTGAGGCGAGCCGGAATGCTGAGAAGGAACGTCGTGCAGATTTCTATAACCAACCTTGGTATGATAACTATGGTTCCTTAAATTCCTTTTCTGTTTCACTCTGCTGGAAACTAGTGTGAGTTGACAAATGTATGGTTTTATGCCTCTTTTTTATGCTTTTATTTTTTTATATTTCTATGCTAGAAAGCTGAATTAATAAATCTATCACTTTATGCTTCCTTTTCTATCTTTACTCTACCAGAAGCTATACTGAATTAATGATTGCGTGGCTTATGCTTCCTTTTTCATTTTACTCCTGTAGAAAATCAGCTGCATTGATGAAAGTTTTTAATTTTGGTAATATGAACTTAATCGTCTTTTAGATTCTATCAGAAGAAATGGTTTTATGGGTCTCCTTGTGCATAGAACTTGTCAATAAGTTACTGAACATGAACGTGAGAGTCATTCTACCCCATTTGCATAATCAATTATAAATTAGCAGTGGCATCCTTTTGATACATTATCTGTCAAAAAACAATGTACCTTGAAGGCAACTCCTTAATTTTTCTGCATGTAATATGCTTAGGTGGTGCATAAAAAGGCATAAAGAAAATAAGGAAACTCTTTCTTGGTAAATTGCGTTAATTCAAACCTTACCGAGGGGCATGCTCATGGACAATACTATTATTTTTTTATTTTCTGACAGGGTTGAAGATGCTGTCATCAGTTATTTGAACCGCAAGCCAGCTGCTGGAAATGATGCTCCAGGAAGCACATAAAGTAAGCATGTTATAATAAATTCCGATAGTTGGAATAGTTCACTGCTGATCCCTCACCCACACTACAGATGTAGCGCTTGTTTCATTAGTTTCTTGTGGCAGTCTCTTCTATACCTGTCTTGATGGAAGAAGGGAAGTTGAACTTAATACATGAGAAAGCTTTGTGCTCAAAGTCACTCATTTTGATGCATGACTTGTCGTTCACAATTGCCATCCTGTCATGCTAGGGAAACCAATGGAACTTCATTTTCTCTTGGTTAAGTCCTTTTTTTCTATTTTTTTTTAATGACAATTACATTTGTTAGTGATTTAGTTTGTTTCGTGGGGATAGTATGCCATTTTGGTAAAATCGAAATATTCATAGCATTCCATGGTCATAGGACATGAGCATACTTGTTCATTTGGAGATTGGAAACCGTTGGAGTTTTACTATGTATATCTTTTCTTTGATGAATCAGGGATGTGTCCTTTCACATTCCTTTTTCTCTTTAAATCATATTATGTGATGTTCAACACCATCTTTGTTCCTTCCAAGTATTATTCAAATTGATTATGGTTATTCTCATCCTACTTAATTACTAGGGCTATCAATTAGACAAATAACATTAAATATTTTTCTTCTTTAATTTTGATATGTAAAAAATTTGAGGAATTTGTTGTTTTCTGGTGTGCAGTATTGTCTTTGGATTTGTTTAATTATTTATTTAATTGGCATTAGAATAGAAAATGAAAATATATAAGAGTGGCTCTCTATGTTGTTCACCTCTTTGCCCCCAAAACTTCCCAACTGCTGAGCATCTTTTGTTCCATGGACATCTGCACATCATTATGGATATGCTGTCATAGAATGTTCCCCTTTGATAAAGTTAAGCAAGTTGCTTCGCCCTCAATTTACTTGAAAACAGTAGGTGGACACTCCTAGTCCTGTGAAGAGAGCTTTCTGTTTTACCTCTGTGGAGTCTCATGTTGCTGTTAGCCTTTCTGGCATAAACCTTCCCCATCCTCCTTTTGATTACCCTTACGTACCCCTTAACTGGATGGGTCTGGTTTCACTAAGAAGCATTCATCAAAGTTAAGCTTTACTATTACTTTTAATTTGTGGCAGTTCTACAGTAGGTGCTGAAATTGGGATGTTGCATTTGTCAACCATTACAAATCAAGCCCAAGCTTGAGTCCTGCCTTAAGGTTACATTGTGGGAGCTTCCCACCAAGCTTTAGGCCTAACTCTGGGAATCTCTTTTTAAACCACTGTCCTTCAGTCGTGAACTCCAGGTTTAAAACCCTCAAATTTAGCTCTAGGATCGCACTCAATATATCAAAGCATACCATGATCATCTGTAATTACTGTCACTCATGTAAGGCTTCCTAGAAACTTAGCTACTTATTTCTTTTGAAATATCCCTAAAATATGCAATAAACGCATATGCTAAAGTGGGCACATTTTGACTTGAAGGGAGAAGTTCAGTGAGACCAACGTCAACATTATTAGAAAATCTCAAAAAGAAAAAATAAAGAAAAGATGAAGTTAAAAGGGTATTTTTGGGACAAGGTCAACTTTATATTTATGAAGTGTTGGTTACATCAAAGTAATTTAGAAGGCATCCCACAATTTGGGTGCTCAGAGTACAAGAGTTTGGCTGGTATGAAAAGAGACAAGGAAATAGAAAGAGAGTTTAAAGACGAGAATTACAAAAGAGGCCAAAAGCCCGGGTAGAGGCGGTAGTGATTGTAGCTGCTGAGAGGGGCTGAAGTTCTAAGGGTATTATGACCTTGCTATAAGAAAAAGGATGTTATTAAATTTTTGGTAACCCAACCATCTTATTTTCAGCTAAAAAGAATAGGATGATTGATAATCAAGAAGATTAGAAGGTGATTTAGTGGGGGTTTTTGGTCTTGGGTAAATTGCAAACTTCTCATGAAGGCTTTTGTCGATGTTGATGGTCATCAATGAACCAACTAATTTTGGGAGGACATTTAAGTAGAATTGGACATTACGAGAGTCAATAGAGGAAGGCCTTGGTGCCCTGATGGCATCTTCAACATCTTCCATTTATAGTCATCAAAAGCACTCCATGATGGTGGTTAGGCAGTGGAAAGCAATGCCGCAAGCACCATTCCTAGGTCTGCCTCAATGGGAGCTTCCTAGGCAGCTGCCCAGAAGAGTGTCTGAGCCTGACATATGAACCACTTGGAAGTTATGCTTACACAGGGATGGAAAGGGTGTTGTTCCTATATTGCAAAAAACCTTGCCTTTTTTTTTTTTCGGGAGGGTCATGGAGGTTTTTTGGCAGCATTTTGTTGATGAACAAGGTCACAAAAGTGTCACTCGAAAAGAGTAGAGTGGACCAACTGGGCTGTTTTTTGCCTCTATGGATGGAGCGAAAAACAACCCTCTTCCCAAAATTTGTTCCATCCATGCATGGCCCTAAGGACCACATTAATTTCATCTCGAAGGATCATAGTTTTAAAATGCGGCCGCATAATGCGTTGTGCACTGGCAACCGCATCGCATGAGGCCGCATGTGTGCTTTGGAGGGATGTGCCTGCATATGCACCACATCCCTTTGCATCCCATAGCTTGCATAGGCTGCATATGCGGCCAGCAAGTGATGTAACAAAAAAAGCCACTCAAGAAGGGGTATTTTCAGCTTTTTATGCCCCGCAAAAGGGGGAAAGGGTTTGGGAGGGTATTAAACCCCCCAAACTACCAAAAACCGCCACATCCATGGCCTTGATCAAATCGATAAAAAACAAGTGGCGAAATTTTTTTTTTTTTTTTTAATTCTTATATTTTCGTCATGGATGATCTTTGGTTGTTGATTCGAGAAAGTTTTAGTGAAGTTTTGACAACAAATCGAGGGTTTCAAGGGCTGAGAAGAAATCGATATTTGCTTCAAGTAATCGTAACCTTTTTTTCCTACTACAGTAATACTTTTTTTTGGGGCAATGTCTTCTTCACAATCTTCTAGTAACAAGGATCCAGCTTGGAAATATGGAAAACTAAAAAATCCGAAAAGGCTGAAATTGTGTTATTTGTATGCTTTGTGGAATTACTTATATGGGGGATATTTTTCCGCAAAAAAAACATTTAGCCGGTATTTCTTGGGGATATAAAGCATACCCACAAGCTACCAAAGAGATAAAAAATGAGATTAGGGAATACATGCAAAGCTAGTTTCAAGTTTCTAGTTTCTACTTTCAAATGTCTTTTATGATCTATCAAGGGATAGTGGATACAGAATGCCTGACGGTTGATACTTTTGGAGTTAATGAATAAATTAAATACCTATTGTCACATAAATCACCTCCATATTTTTTTTATTTGCATTGACATATTTTTTTAGATTTTTGGAATTTTTTTATATTTATTGACTGCATTAGGGTGATGCACTCGCATCTGGACCGCATTGGAGCATCGCCCTTCCTCCCCCCCCCCCTCTCACCCCACCAAACATATCGGGCCGCATCTCGCATTTTAAAACACTGTGGAGGATTTAAAGCAAGGACCATCAAAGAAAAAAAAATAGCGAATTTAAACTTGAGAATTTGATAGCTGGGGCTTTTCCCCCCAAAAAGCCTCATTTTAAGTTTCTTTATTTATCAAAAAGCCTCATTTTAAGTTTCTTTATTTATGGATGGTGAGAGATGAAAATCCTATTTTCAAGAAAAATAAATAAAGAAAGCAGATTATACTTATGCATACTAGTTATAGCACAATATATATATATATATATATATATATATATATAACAATAAATAGTACCTGATGCTTAGTTTATTTTAAGCATTTATGCTTGTATTCATAATATATGTATGTACACTATATGATTAACTCAGCACTCAATCACATTTTGTGGGGCCATACACTTGAGAGGAAAGGCGTCTTGGCCCCATTTCCAATATAACACAAAATGCTGCTTATTCGGAGTGTTTTGCATTACCATGGGAGTGAGTTTGTGCTTTCCAATTACCAAAACATAACACAAAATGCTGCTTATTCGGGGCGTTCTGCATTACCATGCGAGTGAGATTGTGCTTCCCAATTACCAGACTACTGAGTGCCAGCTTGCAAACACCATCTCATGCATTATACCCTAGAATAGATTCTAGAAGCTCTCATAAATGCAGCCTTAATTTTTTTACTATTATCTATCAAATGTAGGTTTTAGAGTAGTTGGACTAAGACATAGTATATGAGATGCTAGTTTATTAATAATAGGAGTAGAGACGAGGAAGTAGTTAAGATGGACGGCCAAGAAATACGAAAAAGATCGTACTTTCGATATCTTGGGTTGATAATCTAGGAAAATGGAGAGATTTAGGAAGATGTCTCACACATAATTAGAGTTGGGTGGGCAAAGTAGAGATGTACAATTGGAGGTTTATGTGATCGTTGCTACAAATGGAGCTGAAGGGGAAAAAGGGGAAGTACGACAACTATGATACCGACTTTATTTTATGGGGCGGAATGTTGGGCGTTCAAAAAACAACACACTATAGGATGAGTGTAGCTGAGAAAAGGGTGTTGAGATGGATGGGTGGCAAGACAAGGGCTAGAATTCGAAATAAGTACTTTTGGGAGAACTTAGGTGTGGCTTCAATAGGTAATATGATGAGAGAAAGTAGATTTAGGTGGGCCAGCCATGTGCAGTGCAGACTGCAGGCCCAGAACAACATCTATTAGGAGGTGCGAGTTGGTTCAAGTGGAAGGCTCAAAAAGGGCAAAGGGTGGCCCATAAGGATATGGATGGAACTAATGAGAAAAGATATGTGGGGACTTATGACCTCACTAAGGTTATGGCCCTTGATAGCACAGAATGACGGACTAGGATTCATGTAGTCGACTCCCAATAGTTGAAAAATGATGGTGAAGATGATATGGCAAATATACATGCTTATTTATTTTGATCTTTGCCATGAATTCTTAGTCAGGTTGGCCCCCAACATGTTAAGGTTTTCGTGACATTGATTAGGTTCTCATATAGGCCTATGACAAGAAAATATGCACTATAGGGACCTTTATATATATGATAAGGTTCTTGAAGTTTGTAATTTTTCTTTGAGGTAATTCTCGGAGTGTTTTGGAACATGAGAACATCACTGTCGATCTCCTGTTCTGACGTTACATATTTTAATAACCAAAATGACTTAGGCATGATGTGGCTTGATGGATTTCTCATTTTGGGGTTTCAGTCTCATTGCCTGAGGTTATAAACAAACAGTTTGGTACACTGCTTCTGATTATTGTGTGTTCTTACTTGCTACAATGCTTAGATGTGCTGGCCTCATGTGTTTTGTATGGAAATTATGTGGCTATCGATGTTGAAGTCCTAGATTGAAGACACTAAATAAAAGGCCTAGATTGAGGAGTGGAGCTAGTGTGCTTTTGGTCATCTTTGGTTGTGGAAGGCAAAGTGACTAGTTGAAATATTTGGCTTAAACAAATGGCGGTAGTAGACTCAAAAGCATATTAAGCTGGAGACTAGAGTTGAAGTTAGAGACTTAAATCATTTGAGGCAG